GGCGCGGGCCTAGGCCCGCCGCCAATCCGCATCCCCGCCCCCGCCAGCCCGCCGCCGCCCGGGGCTTGGGCCCGGAGGCCGAAGCACGGCCCGGCTACCTGCGGGCCGTGGAGGGCCATGGCGGCCCGTTTCAATGGGACTCGGCGCTGCTCCGGCTCCTCACGCCGCGTCTCCCGTCGCCGCCATCTTCTCGCCGCACGGACGCTCGCGTCGGCCGCCGCGCCTGCGCACTGGTCGCGCCGTGGGGCGGGAGCGTGCTGTGCGCCTGCGCGCCCCGAGTGGGCGTGCCTGGCCGCGCGACCTTCCCGCTCCGCGGCGCGTCGTGGGCCAGACGGCGCCCGCAGTCTCTGGGCGTCCGAGTTCTCCAGGGGACAGCGGAAGGCGCTGGGGAGCCCCCGCGTTCCCGCGTTGCGCCGTCTGCTCCGCTTTGACTCCCCTCTCGCGGCGGAGCCTCGCCGGGCGGCAGGAAATAAAACCCAGCCGGCGGCGAAAGTGCTGGAGAGCGCGCGCGGCAGCGCAGCTCCGGGAGCCCGGGTTTGCTCCCTCGGGAGGCTGGGCCGGGCTCCATGGCCCCGTACCAGCGGAGAAAAAGCGGGAGGGACGGAAGGAAAGCGGGAAGGAAGAGGAGAGGAAGGAAAGGGGACATGGCGAGGGGAAGAAGGACGGAGCTGGCGACCTGGCTGCGGTGGCCGGCCGGAAGGCTCGCGCCGCGTGTGACTGCTTCAGGCAGGTTCCTTCTCATCCTAGGAAGATGTCACCGCCCGCAAGATTTCTGGGAGGATTCAATTTGATGTACTCGCGCACCCGGGCCGAGAGCGCTCCGGTGAAGCCCAGCCCCGTGGTTCTGGCACCGTCCTGCGGCTGCCGGACTCTGGGCGCCGCCCCGGAGCCCCAAGCCTGGTCTCGAGGAACCGGGATCGCCGGGCGCCCGCGGAGGAGCGACTGTGCTAAGAGGAAAGGGAGAGGGGCGGAATTGCAGCGTGTGCATCCTGATTGGCTTGTGGCAGGGCGAACAACAAAAAACACTAAGGGAAAGGGAAATGGAGATTTTATTTTTTTTTAATATTTATTTTATTTATTTATGTGTGTGTGTGGCCAACTCAGCCCACCAGGGGGCAGGGCTGGCTGGCATGTGGTGCTGGGGGATTGAACCGCAGTCCCTGTGCTTTGCCAAGCTTTAAGTAGGTGCTTTAGACCACTGAGCCATCTCACCAGCTCCGGAAATGGAGATTTTAAAAACTGTACTGCGACTTCAAGACCCAGCAGCTACTTGAGTCTTTCTCCCTTCCAGGCAAGTCGCCCAGCCGTGTTTGAGGTTTGTTTTGTTTGGACCCAGTGCCCTGCCTGCTAGCCAGCACTGCCACGACCACCCGGCCTCTCCTGTCTTCCTTCGGTTTTCCTTCAGGCTCCTGCCAACCTGTGTCGCAGGCCCAGCTCACAGTGTTCACAGGCCCTTTCCTGTGTCTTTTGGAGAGGTTTGAGTATGGCTGCTTCATGAATTACTGGTAACTTCAAAGTGTACGCCGGACACTTGTCCCCACTGTCTGAAGGTGTCTGCTGCGGAATGTAGGGTGAATGTCAGAATGCCTGCCAGCCTTTAAGTGGCTCAACGAAAAGTAAAGCCCATGCACGCACCAACCTCCAGAGAAAGCACATGTGCAAATGTAGCAAAAGGGTAACAGACCTAAGGGTTTCTTTGAAATATTCTACAGCAAAAAGATGAGGCAAGTTTTGTTCTTGTCTTTAGGATGATAGTGTTCCTGTGTTGTACCGTGCTGCCCTGCAGTGGGGACTGCCATGGAAAATCAAGGTCTACACAGTAGAGACTGGGGACTTAGTAGAGTACTGCAGTTCTAATCTTTTTATCATAATGTTGCTTGGACAACAAATGAAAGCCAGTAAACAAGACCCAGGGGCCGTTCCTGGTCACTTTTGTAGTCCCCAGGCTGGTCTCGAATTCGTAGTGATCCTCCTGTCTCAGCCTCCCGAGTGCTGTGATTACAGGTGTGCACCACCACACCTGGCTATTTTTATATTTTTTTAATATTTTTTCTTTTTATAGGAATTCAGCAACGGTTGGTGCATTGCATAGTGTTGTCTTCAAACTAGTTGTTCAGATTACCAGATATAAGCATGCAAATTGGTCAAAAAAAAAATTGAGAGAGAGGGGAAAAAAAAAAGCATTAACTGCTCCTTTCAGTAGACTAGCAGAAACCAGCAGCACAATTACCCAAGCTATCCTGCATATATACATAAATATATCATTTTCCCTTCTTGTGGTCATTTCCTCATCCCAGGTTTTCCCTTTCTTGAACAGATTCTTTCCTTTTTGCAGTACCTGTTGTACCTTTCACATGTTATTTACTCTTCAGATTCTTACACTGGAGCTTTTGTTTTTGGTTTTGACAGAAAAGACAGAGTCACACTATATAGGTCAGGCTGATGTAGAACTCAGTGATCCTGCTGCCTCAGCTTCCTCATAGCGCAAAAGCAACGAAAGCCCTCAGCCCCGGTCCCTGCCCCCGGGAACGGGTGACAGAGCCACTGAGGGCCAAGGGCGTTGGAGGGACTGGCTTTTACCCTGCTGTCCCATTTCTGGTGGCAGAATTGATGTGTTGTTACAAGCCAGCCGCCTCACTTCTCAAAATCTGCCCCTGCTCGAGCACCAGATTCCTTTCAGACACCAGTGGGGTGGAGGAGCTGCTAAAGAAAGGGAGTGAAGGGGGCGGGGAGATGGCTCAGTGGAATAAGCGCGCAAGGGCCTGAGTTCAATCCCGGGTTCTGCAGGGGGGGAAAAAGGGGAATGAACACTGGGCGTGAAGGTGCAGGCTTATAATCCAGCACAGAGCCTGAGGCAGGAGGATTGCTGCAAATTTGATAAGGACCTGTCTCAAAAAAGAAAAATTTTTTTAAAATGTAAGAAGCTTTCCCTGGCAAGTGCAAGGACCTGAGTTCAATCCCCGGTTCCACTGAAGTAAATAAGTAAGTGAATAAAAAATAAAAATATAATAAACTGGCAGTGGAATACCCATCTCTGACAAAACTAAACAAAAGAAGGGGATACAAATGAAAGACTTTGGCTGGAGAGATGGCTCAGTGGAATAAGCGCTTCCCTGGTAAGCTCAAGGGCCTGAGTTCAATCCTTGGTTCTGCCAAAAATAAATAAAATTAGTTTAAAAAAAAAACTTTTTAAAAAAAAATGAAAGGGCTGGGGAGATGGCTCAGTGGTCTAAAGCACCTACTTAGAACAAGTGTAGCTAAAGCACAGGGATCGCGGTTCAATCCCCAGCACCACATGCCAGCCTGCCCGCCCCCTGGTGGGCTGAGCTGGCCACACACATACACACACACACATAAATAAATAAAATTTTAAAAATTAAAAAAAACATGAAAGACTTTAATTCAATGAGAAGAAAGATTTGTACTAGTAGTGTTTGGACAGGATATCATGTCTGCATCTTGTAATATGAATAACCACTATGAAGACAACAATATGCAATATATGAATTATTGAAACTGTCCTAATTGGTTTTGAAACTGTCTCATTGCTATTTGTTTCTCAATAAAATTATATATATATAACTGCATTGGTCTGGATTCTTCATTCAGGGGCCACAGTCAGGACTGTGGAGAATTGGCTGATTTTCTGGGGCTTTCCTATCTATGAAGGAAGCCGTTTGCCTCCTGTCCATTTCACAGGCAGAGGTGGAGGGAGGCAGGGATGCGGCACAGGGTGAGCCAGGCGGTGTGCCCTCCCTGAGCAGATGGCAGAGGCTGGCCCCGCTCTGGTCACTCACCCTGTAAACCTCTCCTTTTCCTCTCATAAAAAAATTGCTTGTCGGGGCCCTCGCGATAGCTCAGTGGTCTAAAGTGCCTGCTTAGGCAGTGACGGAACCATGATTCAATCCCTGACACCACATGTGGGACTAGCCCCCCCCCCCCCAAATTGCTTGTTTTTCATCCGCATTCGTCTTACACAGAATGTGCTGTTCTTTGGTTTATGTGGGGAGAGGGGTCTTTCAGTCTCCTTTTGCCTACAAAAATGTGAAGAGGTACAGGGCACAGTGCTGCACCCCTGTAATCCCAGCGCTTGGGAGGCTAATGCAGGAGGATCACTGCAAGTTCAAGGGCAGCCTGGGCTACAAAGTGAGTTCAAGGCCAGCCCGAACTGCAATGAAACCTTCTCTGGACAACAACAAAAAGTGTGAGGCGGTGACACCATCTTTCTGGAGGTAGAGGTGGGTTAGACCATAGGACTGGCGAGGCCGAGAGCCTGAGTCCACTAGGCCTCTGAGCCCAGCAGATGGGGAAGAGGGAGCCTAGACACCCTGCATCAGCCCCTCAGGTCTGCAGTAGAGCTGAGGACAGGAAGCCTGGGCAGAGACAGTGATGCGAAGGCCCACACTGGGTGTTGGTGGCTCCAGCCAATAGGCTTGCAGCCTGGGTAGCATAAAAGGGAAAGGGAGGCTGCTGCCTCGCTGCTGCCAACTGGGTTCCCAGCTTTGCCACTACCTGCCTGCCTGCAGTGGATGCTCCCTCTGCCATGCCACTCTGGCTTGGCGCCGGCCAACTGTGGACTAAAACCTCTACAAACTGAGATACATAAACCTTTCCTCCTTGAACTTCGGGTGCCCCATATTTGGTCTCAGCTATAGGACAAGTAACTCAGTAACAGGAAAAGACAGAATCCCCACCATAAGCAAGCATTAATGTTGATGCAGGGTATACAAAATGAAGAGAGTGCATAGGAAACATACTCAGTGATCAACGCGTAGTACGTGGATGTACTGACTCTGATACCTTTTATTTATTGGGGGGGGGCTAGGGTCTTGTCTGGCCACATTGGCCAGGCCGGTCTTGCACTTCTGGGCTTACTTCCTCCTGCCTCGGCCTCCTAAGCAACTGGGAGCACAGGTGTGCACCACTGTGCTGCCCCACACTGTGCACATCCTGTGTATGGTCCATTCCTACTTTTCACCACCACCAGGACACTGTCAGGAGGTGTGCGGGGACATCATCCCAGGGTCCCGCACAGGAGGGCACCTGATGCTAAAGACAAGGAGCAGGAGACACGGTTTTGTCAAAGTCATGGGGTTTCCTGTGATGCCCTGAGGGTGGTGACTTTGCTCTGGGAAGGTGGGGATCCATGTGCTCTGCTGTCATTACAACCTAGACATACCCCGTCCCCGTCCTGATACCATCTGTAGCTCAGCTCATACTTGCTGACTTTGAGAGCACAGAGAGGGAGCATATAGCCTTCGCAGTCCCGCAGACCATCCCGTGCCTTCCTTTCTCCCCTGTGCTGCTGGCACGCTGGTGGGGAGGTCCTGCCCCAGGACCTTTGCACTGGTTGGCTCCTAGCCCAGAATGTCTTCCTCGTTCTGCTGGAAGGGGTTAGAAAGGTCAGTGCCTGAGCTCCAGCTGAAAGTACAGGATCAGCAACTCCAGGAGCAGGGCAGGGGTCATGTGGCAGTTCAGCACCAGTTACTTTGGAGCCCACATAGCTTTTGGCTCAGCATGAGGACAGCACTCTAGCAGGCTAGTGTGTTACCCAAAGGCCACTCATGTACCTAAATTTGAGATGTTTCCTTTCTGTGAACAGGAAAAGGTGGAAGTAAGATGGAGGGAGGAGGGGTAGAATATGCCCGGGCAGGGAATCAAGTCACACTCAGGCCACCAGTGTCTTCAAAGCAGGACAGTGCACGCCTGGGAGGCTGAAGCAGGGGGATCACAAGTTGGAACCCAGCCTGGACAACCTAGTGACTTAGTGCAACGAGATCCTGTCGCAGATGTAAAAAAGGGCTGGGGATGTAGCAATCTCCTGGTTCAGCCTCCCAAGTGTTGGGATCACAGGCATGCACCACCCCACCTGGCTGGATGGTCAAGACTTTTCTGGCATTAGTCTGTAAACTTGAGGCCAGATGAGAGACTGCCTGAGTCCTGGGCAGAAGAAACTTGATTTCCTGCATACAGCCACACCCGAAGCTTGGAAACACCACAGGCTTTTGAACAAGCCCATTCCCACCCCCACTAGTGAGGAGCAGGCTGAGGGGGAACCGGGTGAGCCTGTGTCACGAGCTGTGTCCACTGATGTGAGGGGGGGGACAGGAAATGTTATTCCCATGCACGAGGTCCCTGAGCCTCTGCACTAACTGTCCTAGGCTTGACTTGTACCCCTGCCCCTCAGCCCGCACTGGCCCTGTCCTGAGGAATACACATTGAGAGAGCGGGAGCCAGAGCGCCTTCACATCACCCGAGGCACGGGCAGTGTCCAATCAGCAGTGAGGGGCCTCATCCCTCTGTGGCCTTCCCATAGCATACCAGCTTGCGTCACAGTTTCTTTTCAATTCAGTGGAAGTGTTAAGAAGTAGTGAAAGCGCAATCGCTTGCTCTTCTCGCCTTGGGATTACGTCTGAGGGGCAAATCTCCACATCAGACAGAACTGCTGTTGGCACCATGAGGGCTACGCTGGCTGTGCAGTCATACTGGAGTTGGCTTTCAGCCCTGTGGCCTCCTGGAAGAGGCTGGGGACACGTGCCACCTGCCAGCAGCTGCCCTGCTAGTGTCAGGGTCTGCACAAGCCATAGGCCAGGAGCAGGGCCCTGTGGCTCCATCCCATCTAAAAGATCCAGTTTGGTTAATTCTGTCCCCAAATAAAAGCAATGCAAATTCAGTGTCGGGGAGACTCTTCCACTCAAAGATGGACACTGTTGGCTTTTGGGGTACAACTCATTCATTCATTCATTCATTCATTCATTCATTCATTGGAAACAAGGTCTCCCTGCATAGCCCAGGCTGGCCTTGAATGCACAGCATCCTCCTGCCTCAGCCTCCCAAGTACTGAGATTATAGGCACATGCCCTTGTGCCTGTTAGGGTTTTTGGGAGCACAGCAGAGAAGCGGAAGTAAAAGGAAAGGGTGGAAAGGGCCTTTCTTGCCCTTGAGCAGGACATGGAGAGGATCACAAGCAGGGAGATGGGATCCTCTGAC